AGAGGTGTCGGCGAGGTCGGCGGAGTCGTTGGTGGTGCCGTCGAGGGTGTCGGTGGGGACGACGGAGGCGGCGAGGTCGGGGGTGGTGAGGGAGGCGGAGTCGAGGGCGGCGGCGGCGAGGGCAGCGGCGGGGACGTCGGTGGTGGAGACGGAGGGGGAGGGGAAGGCGGTGGTGGGGATGGGGGAGGAGGCGAGGGGGGCGGCGGTGACGGGGGAGGTGGGCTGGGTGGCGGCGGCGACGGAGGTGGCGGGGAGGGCGGCGGAGGGCTGGGCGGTGGAGGGCTTGGCGGAGGCGGGGACGGCGGGGGTGGCGAGGGCGGAGGCGGGCTTGGGGGAGGGGGGCTTGGGGGCGGCGGAGAGGGTGGCGGAGGCGACGGCGGCGGCGGAGAGGGTGGAGGCGGCGAGGGCGGGGGCGGCGAAGGTGGTGGCGGCGAGGGAGGCAGCGGTGAGGGCGGCGGTGGCGACGGCGGCGGTGGCGAGGGCGGTGGCGGGGACGGCGGCGGAGGTGACGGTGGCGGTGGGCTCGGAGGCGGCAGAGACGGCGGCGGAGGCGAGGGCGGCGGCGGCGAGGGCGGCGGCGGCGACGGTGGCGGCGGCGAGGGGGGCGGTGGTGAAGGCGGAGGCGGCGACGGCGGCGGAGGCGAGGGCGGCGGCGGCGAGGGAGGCGGTGGGGACGGCGGTGGTGGAGACGGAGGTGGCGGGGAGGGCGGCGGCGGGCTCGGTGGCGGCGGGGACGGGGGAGGAGGAGAGGGCGGAGGCGGCGAAGGTGGCGGGGGACTTGGAGGCGGTGGCGAGGGAGGCGGCGGCGATGGCGGGGGTGGCGACGGAGGCGGCAAGCTGGGCGGTGGGGGCGAGGGCGGTGGGGGAGACGGAGGCGGCGGGGAGGGTGGCGGCGGAGACGGCGGAGGCGGGGAGGGCGGCGGCGGGCTGGGCGGTGGAGGCGAGGGTGGCGGCGGAGACGGAGGAGGCGGGGAGGGCGGCGGCGGCGAGGGAGGTGGTGGTGACGGTGGCGGTGGCGAGGGGGGCGGAGGGCTGGGCGGTGGTGGGCTGGGTGGCGGCGGCGACGGAGGTGGGGGTGAGGGGGGCGGCGACGAGGGTGGAGGCGGGCTGGGAGGCGGTGGCGAGGGCGGAGGACGCGACGGCGGCAGTGGAGATGGCGGCGGCGGACTCGGTGGCGGCGGAGACGGCGGCGGAGGCGA